AAAGCGTACTTCAACAGCTACAGGGTAAACCCAAATTTGTCTGACGGCTTGAGTTCAATGTGTAAGAGAGAGAAGCGCGAGAAGTGTGTATCAACACTTGTTAGAAAGAGAGAGAAGCTAGCTGAAAAGCGAAGGTTATCAACACATTGCTTAGCAACGGTGACGCAGAAGGTCGTGCAATCTGCAATGTTGTTAATATGTGCAGGAGAAGTCCCTATCGCTGAGTTAAAGCGTAACAAATAAAGTACGGATAATGCACTAATCAAAGAAAAATATTAGGCCATATCAAGGTCAAATCAAGACATAGTAAACAACTTCTTCTAGCAAGAATATTCTACCGCATAGGTGTAAGGTTTGTGGGGGACTACCCAAATATGATCTTGACCATGACCTTCAAGAGTCTACGTCTAAGTTTTGTTTGAAATTTTTTTTTGTAGGATGCGAGTTTTCAAAATATTTAGGTGAGAAGATTGAAATGGGTCATCCTGTATGTTGGTGTATCATAAGTGCTCGCTAGTTGCAAGCTGACACTTCGTCGTTTTTCTTTTACGTTTTTTAGGTTTTTCACATAATAGCCGCGCAGGCTAGAGTTACCGGTCTGAATGTTGTTTGATTTATGTGATCGGGGATAGCTGTCAGTTAAGTTACAGGTCAAATCTCTTCATGAGCAAAATTCTGGAAACAAGATGGTAAACTGCCTAAGGCAACACACGTATTCGTATGAAGGAGAGCGTGGCTCTTGGAAAGGTAGTGAGCGTACACCTTTTGCGTATGTGTACACATACGCCATTCAAAAATGATGGGAAAATAATTATCACGTACATTGCAAAATCCTGACTCCCAAGATTCTTCATTTCGCTAACGTTTCCCCGTGCTTAACCAAAATTTCTACTTGTCACTCTACTGAACCGTCAAAAGTAGAGTTGTTTACGTTTTAGATTCATTCATTCATGATGAAAGCAACAAAGAGATGCAGACATGACAGACATTTCTTACGCAATCGCTAAACGATTAGTTCGACTTGATTCTCGAGACCTTTGGCGTCATCCACACTCTATGAGCTTACCTTCATGTTTCCAGTCTTTTTCTTCATTATGCAGGCATAATCTAGGCATTGTTGCGATTTATACCTCATATGATGTCCGGGTGGGTAATTCTGATATAACATGCTGTATGACATTTTAGTAGTACCAATTCAATATAACTGTAATGTTAAATGAACGATTCCTTGATAAAAAGATAAACCTGACCGTAAAGTATTAAAAGACAATTATTTATTATCATATTTTGGAAGATCAACAAAAATAGTCTAATGTTTTTGCTCCTGTAAAGAAATATGAACAGTTGAAGTAAATCACTTGAGACAACTTCAAAACATTTCATCCAAGTAATGCGCAGCCCTACCGTCATTTTGAAATTATATGTAGGTGGTCATTTTTAAGGTCATGTAGTGTAGTACGCATAGACCACCGCACAATGGCTTACACAAAGCTCGGCACCAGTCTTGGATGTATATAGCATTTAAATGCCTGCGGCGACATACGGTGAAATTTTTTTAGTTTTGTAGTTTTACGGGGCGATTTTAATCGTACGTAAGCCATTTTTTCGAAAACACGTTCTACCCTCGTGTGTGGCAGGGAATTCAATTTGTATTCCAAACGGACATTGCTGCGTTTCTTCGATGTTGCTGCACCGGTACTTTTTACCCTTTTTAATTGTTCTCCGACGCCAGTCATAGACCTACCTCTCTCGGCGTTTATTATAAAATGAAATCAGTTTAGATTTAAAGACTACACACTATATGTGTGGCCGCTTATAGTGTACATTTCATCTGTAATGTAGACACATTCTGTTAACCAATATGCTTAAACCAGTTTGGGAAATCATAGTTTTTCTGGAGGTAGACGAGAATATTGCAATAATCACTTTTGACCGTCTACTATTTTAAGCTTTCTCTTAGACATTTCTTGATTTTCACCGATTATGCGCTTTCTTCTTTGATCAAACCGTATACTTGCAGAGTTCTTTCTGAACATTATCATACGTTCAAGTGGAGACTTCTTGATATTCTTAAGGTTTCTTTGTCTTTCGATGATGTTCGAGAAACTGTCTGGTTACAGGGAGTAAAATTTTTGAAAATGTAGTATTCAAGTCTACAAAAATTGCTCAAAATTCCTCTTTCCTCCAGCTAAAATACAAGATCCCAATTTTCTCTTCATAAATCCTTCACCAGTATCACTTATTATCGAGTTACGACCAATAACTATCTGACTTCTAAAATCATTAACATTCCCACTGAAGCAGCGTAAAGAGATAACTTCAGTGACACCAAACGAGTTTGAGTTAGGGGTCCATGAGGTCATTGACCTAACCAATGATGTCCGTAAGTTTTAAAGTCACAAGCAACCTGTCTTAAATCATAAAAAATAATTTTCTAGATCACTTGTGAAGTTCCCGAGCTCTAGATAACATCATCAAGGTACCCCTCCAACCAACTCTCTTCATGTTCTTTGCTCTGTCCCTTCCTTCCTTCCTTCTTTTTCCCTTTCTCAATGACTTTGTCGGATATTCGAGCAACAATACCTGACATATCTACTAACCTATAGTACAAGACTTCAACCAAGAGCAAAAGCCCTGTACTTTCGAAACGATGGAGGTTTTTGAAAGCCACCAAGAATAAAATTGTTTTAAAAACTTAAATTATTTGGAACGGTTCGGAACACCTGTTATACCAGTGATCTTCAGCTGTTGAGCCAGGCAGTGGATCGTTTTTTTGTGGTACTATCAAACTTTTCCAGACTATAAATAGCTAGATATCTATAAACCTTGGCCGCATTTTTATCTTCCTCGCGGTTGCTCACCTTAAAGGAAACAATGCAATAATTACATGACGGTTTGATGTGAATTGTGGTGGTCAAGTTCAAAGGGAATTTGAAATTCGAAACGGTCGCTCGAATTATTTTGGCGTCGCAACATTGACATTGATCGATTACCGGGAAGAAACAAGAGTATTTACAGCACGAACGTTTTTTACAAGGATGTAGAAAAAAGCACCAGTTGGATTTTCGAGGACACCTGAGAGATATGACCTCATTTTACGCGGATGTATCTACAGGTGAAATATGCAGGATGTTTCCTGAACATAGGGCAAAGGTGACAAAGCGTATCTTTTGAAATATACAGGTTGAAGAAATAAATAACATGTTTTGTTACTATCATTTTAGATATGAAGCTTTTTAATCCTCAAAGACTGTTCAAAATAGTAAAACATACACGACTCCGGTTATTCCCTGTAGGACCATCACAGTTATTTGCTTACACAGTTTCAGTCACAATCAGAAACCATGGTACATTTTTAAGGGTTTGTCGGTTTTCGAGAAGAAGATTTTTTATGCTGTATTTTATCTGGAGGTACTCATTTTGAACGGTCCTTGTACATTATGAAGCCTCATATGTGACTTTTGTTCTTATATTAGATATCGAAACATTTTGGTTACTTTGCATCTTTTCAAAAATAGTTAAAAGCCAAAATAGTCTTGGCATAGTTTAAAGAATCATTCCTTAAATTTTTGTCCCATGTTTTTTGGAAATACGAGGTGGTTAAGAATAAATGTGAATCTTAAGGCGGATGTTTTCCGATTAATAAATTAACGCCTTGAACCTATCTTGTGCATGTCTTGATTATCCATCTTCATACTGTTGCAGGGAAATAAAACAAACCACATGTAGCAAACGTGTGCGACAAATGTCCAAAAACTTCATCTTATGTTTAGAGTACTACCAAATCCTGTCATGGACCATCATCTTTGGACAAGCATTTCCGAGACTACTCGTATATGTACATTTCATAATTATGGAGGAAGCTTTTTACCAGTATCTTGCGATTCTCATCAATGTTTAGTATGATGAATTTATCAATGAATAAAAGTTAATAACACGAAGTCGACAATCATCGATTATGAAGGTAATGCCATATAGTGAATAAAAACTTTAATATCCATTTTGCAGCACTACAACAAATGCAATTGTTTTTATAATATGTTATTATTGTTAGAAGTGACTTCTCTATTGTTTTTGGGTCCAGTAATGTTGAAAACGGATGTATATGACAGGGTACTGCCCAGTCGAGTCATATATGATAAACAGGTTTATCGCGGAAGAAATATACTTGTTTGACAAAAGTAAGATTATAACTGATTTCGCCAAGCTTATCTCTCCTTCTCTCGATTAATAATTTAGACCAGGTTTATCTTTTTTATTACGAAATCGTTCATTTTATACTATAGATAATATTAATTTAGTGCTACTGAATACAAAATTACCCTTCAAATGTCATACAGTTTAATGTTGCCTGCCTAATGGAGTTACACGACAAAGAAAAACAGGCTTGATTAAGTTGATTAAGGTATCATCACCAAGAAATGCTAGGCCGGTCCTGCCATTTCCACTCGCTATGATGATGTATAACACTCGTTGTAAAATACTGTATATGTATGGTTGCTATTTTGGAGGATATACACTTTCCAGGACACTAGCGAGCATGATGATATACTAATATATGGCAAAAATGGAGGTGCTTACTATTTTTGAACTATACTTATATTACACTGCGATAAAAATGAATTCAACAGAACAACCTTTCTTGTACCTGATACAGAGTTCCACATTTCAAGAAGTACATTCCCATAAAGTGCCACTAGCTATAACTGCTATAATCTATTTTGTTGGCTATCATTTCATTTCTGATAAGATGCTTAAATCCTAGGCAAGCATCGTGGTAATGTTAGAATATCTTCAAGAGCCAAGTAAATTGACTGTGAATAGTTGATAGTCTCAGAAGACCACTAGGGCGCGAAGGGTTAAGAATACGTTTGCAACTATATTCATTTGTAGTCCGAAGCATTATTTTTGGCCTCATATTTCAGTTTGAAATGAGGACGTATCGTAATTTTATAACATTAGAATAATTAATAAACACATCCAAATCATATCAGACTTACCTCTTCGTAATCTAACTTGGCAGTCAGTGTAAAAACTCCAGTTTGAGGATTCAGTGAAAATACATCATTCGCCCAGTCACTGATTACTGAATATGTCAACTGAGCGTTGATTCCTAGATCTGGATCCACAGCCTGCACTTTTCCCACACGGTGACCGCGTACAGCATTTTCGGGATGTCAAAAGAGTAGGCTGGTTCCAGAAAGGCTGGTGGATTGTCATTGGTGTCCAGGACCTGAAAGAGATAATGGTTTTTAGTATAATGTTGAAGAAGTGCAATTTTTTTTTTATTATTTCAAAAATGTAGAGCGTAACAACATATGCCATAAGACTTCACTGCGAAAGGCAAAGAACGATGAAGCGTAATTTTGAGTAATCAAAAAGTTCTCTAAAAAGCCGTCGCTAAGTCAGTGGTTGGCAGTTACTGTAATCGCTTACAGACTGAATATTACCCAGTTGTCAAAGGAAATCAAAGATAAGATACTATGTTTTTTCGATGTTACGACGAAAAGACATGTCGCAATTATTCGTCTGCCCGCTAATCCTCGGTCCATATATAACTTGGGATGTACCTACTTGTTGAATTGTGTTGAATTTTTGACACGACGTTACTTCTATGTCAAGACGAGAAAGCTCTTTAGTTGTTTAAAACTGATCCAGTAACAGCGGTGCTACGGGTGAAACATGAAATAAACAAAAATCACTCGAACTCTCTTTGACATTTCAGAGGCTTCTGATAATTATGAAATTTTTTTCAAATTATACGATTCTAAACTCGGTAATTTTTACCCATAGATTTTGCGGTATACTTGCTTTTAAGAATAATAGTAATATTTTCGATGCACGTGTCGAACTCGATCGAGCGCAACGAATAGAAGTTGAACCTGTCGCGAGCTAGCGGCCTCCGCTGGATGTCTACTAATAGTAGCTGTGATTGCAACGTTGTCTCGTGATCGGTAGGGCATTTGATACATTTCTACATCGCAACGTTGTCATATGGGTGGAGACTGGGGGCCAGTTGCATAGGCCTATTTGATTGTCTTGATCCATTTAGTTTCTTCTCAAAGGACCAGCGTGTGAAATTACATGTGCCCTTGATTCGCATCTAGGACATTACTAACCATATATACCAGTATATAAAAAACGTCATGCGGTCCAAGTCTTGCTCGTTCGACTGTCATATTTAAAAATAGCTGCGAAATTATAAAACGTTTATCCAGCATATCTTCGTAATCAGTGGATCCAATTTCATTCCTTAAAGCTCATTTTACTCCTTTTTTATAGTACTTCATATAGTAAAATGGACCATATTTGGTAGAGCTAAAACCAATTTTCGAACAGTTGAAGGTATTGGATATACTAATGAAGGCAGCACTTGCTAATATTGTAACATCTGAAACTTATCCTGTGGTTGACATGTTATTTATCCCTCTTTCTGAAATATTGTCAATGTACTGAAGAAAATCACGTTTGTGATTGAAGTCTTTACTACAGTAAAGAACCTGTCAATACATATAGTTTTATTGGGCAGTCAAGCATGGGGGATTGTTGTTAATATTATAACAAAATCGAGCTTAACATTCCAAAGATTGAACGGCTGTAACACCAGGCACCACAATATGCTTATGTGTACAGTGGTATGTACTTTGAATTTGATTGCAGGAGAAGGCAAAATGCATACAGGAGTATTTGAAAAAAGAGAGAGATTGATTACACGATCTGCATCGCAGTCATAAGGCCATCATATACAGGGTGATTCACAAGTCGTGACCAAAAATGAAACATCCTACACAGGACAGCATTTTGAGGGGGGTCTTCTATGTAACATTTTTCCTCGAGGGCTTCTGTAAAAGGATACGGGGTGTTGAAGTTTTCAAATATATTTTTTTATTATCTTTATTTATCCAAGTATTGTCCACATTTGAAAGTACTTAATTATAATTAACGTACATCAATGGCGGAGATACAGGGGATTAGTTGCATTACTTTTCCAAATAAAAATAGTACGCCACTGTTTTTTTTCGAAACGCGCAATTTTTCGAATTCTCTCTTCAATCTGCTACAAATAATTACTCTTGTTTTTTTCTGGAGTGCATTATTTTCGTAAAAATAAAAATAAAAACAAATTGGTAAAAACCTTTGAGGTAGGTTGGCGTCTGTCAGAAAATCTACGTCGATACTCCCGTGAAGCCGCTAAAGCATTTCCATTACAAAACCCGTGCACAAAATAATATCGGCATACTTATCATTGCTAAATTCCATTTCACAACACTCAAAATGGAAAAAGAAACTCTTGACTTGACTTTTCCAAACAAACAAAAATGGTAGTAGTAAGGACAACAACACATAATCTTGACAAACTATCTCCCAAGAAACGACAAGTTGGTATCAAGGTCTCCTACTTTATTTTGAAACTATTTGTATCTCGGCTTCTTTTATTTTCATTTTTACGAAAACAGTGCACTCTAGGAAAAAACACAAGAGTAAACATTTGTATAAAATTGAAGGTAAAATCCGAAAAATAACGCTTAAAAAATATTATTTTTATATGGAAAAATAATGCCACTAATTCCCTGCATCTCCGGGGATGGGGCACGTTAATTTTAAGTAAAGACTTTTGAATGTGGACAATACATGGGTAAAGCCACATACCAAATTTTAGTTCATTCCAGTTTGACGGTTTAGAAGATATTAAAAAAATGTTTTTTTAAACACCCCGTATCTTTTTCATGCAGCCCTCGAGGAAAAATGTTACACAGAAGACCCCCTTAAAATGCGGTCCTGTGAATGATGTTTCATTTTGGTCACGACTTGTGTATCACCCTGTATACAATAATATGTGCTTGGGCGTATGTTTGTTACTAACGTCATTATCTTACTTATAACCATGACTCGGATCGCTTGATCACTTTTATCAAACACTCATATATGAGTTTTATCAACTGCCGCCAGTGGAGGATACTGGGGGTATCCAAATTAAGAAATGTATGGCCATCTTTCAGGCCATAAGTCCTGAGCCCCCACCCCTCTACCCAAGCCCCCAAAAAATTTCAAATTCACCAGATGGGCCCTGCCCCAAAATGTTTTCTAGATCCGCCCATAACTCCCGTAATAAAATTCAGAGCATATACACACGTAGCCAGTGGCGAAGCGTACATATAACCATTGATACCATTGGTAACAGTTAAAAATCTTAAGAACAAATATTTTATGACTAAGTATTGTGAAATAAGTTCATTTATTTGTTTACCAACAGCGATATGTAATAGTAATTCAGTAAATAGCAAATTAGCTCCACGAAAATAATGCGCCCTATAGTGTCTAGGTTTTGTGAACACGATGGTGCTGACTCGCCTCGACTTGGTTGTCAGTTGTTACCATTTTCATTGATGGATACACTTGGTAGTCCGTCGGGGACCGTCGGTGCCGGCTCGTGTCTTATCGCGGTCGCCCGAGTGCGTGGGGCGCTGCGACTAGTATGTGGGCTTGTTACCATTTTTTGATTTGGTTACTCACTTCTCACTCATTGGTAGCCGTTTTGGTTACCGGCTGTAGTATGCGAGCAATTAAATATGGATGAGTGTCCCTGCGTAATCGATCAACTATTTGAAAAGTCATTCTCCTTGTACGTATATAATTTTAAGAAAAAAAAGGAGATCATTGAAAATGGAATACCAACGCCTAGTTTAGATGATTTTAAAAAGGAATAAAAAAATGTAGTTTCATATTTCAAATTAAGTTGGTATATGGAAACTCTTGGTTAAGTGGTTGCATAAAGACAAATTGTATTGTTGGCGATGTCTTCTGTTTTATACAGAAAAAAATGGGTGGACCAGCAGCGGAGTCAAGGATTTAAATAGTTTTAGGGCTATAAAGAAGAGACAAGTAATTTCTCCGTTACATGTGAGATGTGTAGCCAATTTAACTCAGTTTGGCAAAACAAGAATCGAAAGTTGTTTCAACCAAGCTCTTAGGCAGCACACTTCTAGATACCGTATGTTTTTTTGGCAAAACAGGAATTACCGTTCATTTTGAAGGGGATGACTCTGAAAGTAGAGGAAATTACAGGAAATTGTTAACACTCATTGTCAAAAAAGATCAAAAATTTTCCGAACACCTAGAAAGGTCGACTGTTTTTTCGGAAGGCTTGGATTAGTCATAGCACAAGACGATGAGGTATATCAAGTGCCACAGACGCTCAGTCCAGGAATGTTTACCTTAATTTAAAAATAGTTTAAATAAAATACCTACCTAAAATAAGCAAAAACTTATATTTGGGAGGTTCAAAATAAACTTTTTATAATAAGATTTTTCACATCTGGTTTTGGTAACAGTTTAGGAAAAGTCACGCGTCGCCACTGCACGTAACCCAATTGTAATGCGTAATCTCATAGTCGGCATTTCCATTTTTGATAGATTCGAGTGTTTAGTCTGATTTTGTGCCATGCACGAAAACTGCCTTTAGCATTAGTAAATGCAACACTTATACAATGTACAATGTCGATTAGTGATATTTAAGTGTATTCATAAACCGGTGAAGTCACTCCTGTGCTTTTCATGTTCATAGGACTCCATTGTCTGGCCGAATCGAAACCATACATATGTTTAGATTTCAGTTTATTGTTCACTAGTTCGCTTGAACTAAAGTTAAAACATATACATACATGTGGTTCTAATCCGGTCAGACAATGGAGACCCATAAACTGATCAAGATTAAAAACCTTATTATATCTCAATAATTATCGGATTTTTCATAAAATGTGTACTAATAAAATATGTTTGCTTCCAAAGAAGGAGGGCAATGAGGCTAAAAAATTAAAATCGCTTTACTGGGTATGGAGGTATGTTGAATAACTTTTTTCCAACATGGCGACCACTTTTAAATATGGCGGCCATTCTTTACATACGCTTGTAGGGACTGGTCTCAGCTTTTCAAAAATTTGCAATGTTATTCCAAATTTGTGGTAAGGCTGCGAAGACTTTCACCTCTCCGGAATTCGTTTTTTCTTCTATTAAAAATGGAGCATTTTTAGTGCTATTCAAATACCTACAAAAACTTCAAGACCTTTCTATAACTCAATGAATATTGGCGTAAAATGAGCTTTCGAATAATCGTTTTCTAACTTGAAGGCGATTTTGAAGGCCTCGCGACCTAGACTAACACGCCTATGCTCGGCGTATGACATGATTCCATTCTAGTACAATGCATATATGACAAAATGACTAGTTTTCATTATTTCGCTTTTATGCTATAATAAGAAAATAACCTTATCTACTATTACTATTCGTCATTATTCGTCAGAGCGGTCCGGTGGACCTTTGCTCTCAGTTAAAAGTCTCGTCGGTCTGTTAGTCTGTCAGGTCTGGCTACCCAGATACCAAACATGTTTAAGGGGAAAAGGGAAAGAAGGAAAGAAAGGAAGGAAGAAATAGAGCAAAGAAAAGAAGTAAATCATTTGAAATAGCTTTATTGCTTTGACTACTCGAATTATTTTGTAACTCCAAAAAATAATTTTGATCGGTTTTGTATACTGGAATAATTTTGGCTGGTCTGAATTTACGATTTAATTTTGATCATAGTGCGAGGCGCGGCCTGGAATGTTTGCGAACTTGCTCGACTGTGTAGTCTACTGAATCACGCAACAGAGGGTTGCTGTGCGATTCCGCTTGATTATAACGCCACTGCGCCTGTTGTTTTACGTAATCTCTTAAATATAGGATATCAAGATCTCTGTGAATAGTCTCATTTGACACGTACCAAGGGGCGTTAGTAATTGTGCGTACGGTTCTGTTTTGCAGGACTTGCAGTCTCTGCATGTGCGTCATGGCAAAAAAACACCAAGCCGCGCATGCGTAGGTGATTTTGGGTCTTTGACCATTTTATACAACCGGATCTTGTTGAGACGGCTGCTTCCGCGTATGACTTGCTGCGTCTTTGCGCTATGACTTCCAGATTTCGCCTGGGGGTGAATCTGCAAGTGGGACTGTTAGCGGGATGCGCCCCTCCACAGTTCGCACACTTTCGCTCCTCTTGTCCTGTGAGGGGGAATAAATGTGTCATGTGGTCGGAAGCACATTTAAACATTTGGGAGGTGCTATGCAGTAAGACTGCGCATGACCATATCTTTGGCAGCGGTGACACTGCCCAATAAGTCTAGAGTTCTTTTGAACTTCAACTCTGATTGCTAGACCCAGCAGCTCATGTTCATTGAACAGCTGCTGGGACTTTTCAATCTTGGGCAGTATCACGACCACCAAAGGCATGGGTGCGCCGCCACTGCGTTTGAGTCGGATAATGTGGAGAGGAGTATATCCCCTCTGTTCTAATTCCCCTTTGATCTCCTGTTCGGAAAACATTGCGGGTATGCCTCTGACTACCGCGTGAATATTTCGTTCTGAAGGAAGAGGGAACGTATGCTGGGGCACGTCCTCCTCCCTGAACAGGCGAACGATTCTTCGGTAGTCATCCTCTGTTTTCGGCAAAATCCTGATTCCCGCATCAACGGCAACTGCGCGTCTTAATGACTAAGCTTATAAAGGTGTAGTTTAGATGTCGCCACTTGGCCGCATCACGCAAAACAATGGGCGTGATTCGCCCCTGGCGGGGTGCTGAGCTAGTCAACTCACTAGCAACGTGAGATTGTTGAGATAATGCACGGTCAGTCGGTGCAGTGGCCAAAGATTGAGAAGATGTGGTCGCTGCATCGACCGTCATAGGACAAGTGGCAGAAGAAGTTGATACGTTTAATGAAGCAGAAGGTTTTGAGGGGACTGTCAACTTGAATTTTGATTTTGCTTTTGGAAGAGGTGGGAAGTCATCCGTCTTGTCGGTTTTATTCGTTTTGTCGATGCGTCTTTTCCTAGACTTGGCCTGGATGAATCCGTCATACTGTATATCATCGTCGGGCGATGTCACGTCAGTTAAATTTTGAAGAGGTCTTTTTAAATTGACAGCCTTGTCAGATTTAGAATTAAAATTTGCATTATTGGTTAACTGTGTTACCTGGGTGGTCAGGCAGTCTATTTTACTGTTTTGACCCCTAACTGTCTCAGACAGCTCTTTTATTTGCTGGGCCTGGCTTTCGATGATCAGGGTCTGACGCTGGATGGTTCTATCCTTTTCGTCTGATACAGCTGGTTTCATCAATTCCTTTGATTTCATGGTCTCAGTCAGCTCCTTTATTTGCTGGGCCTGGCTTTCGATGATCAGGGTCTGGCGCTGGATGGTTCCCTCCTTTTCGTCTGCTACAGCTGGTGTCATCAATTCCTTTGATTTCGTGGTCTCAGTCAGCTCTTTTATTTGCTGGGCCTGGCTTTCGATGATCAGGGTCTGGCGCTGGATGGTTCCGTCCTTTTCGTCTGCTACAGCTGATGTCATTAATTCCTTTGATTTCTTGGTAATTTCTGTTCTCTCATTCTGGCTGGGTCCATTCATCATCGGGGATGCTGGGGGATCATTACTTTGACCTCGAGAGTCTATCTCCATGTTTTTAAATCGGGTTTTCTATTGAAAAACTTGAAAACTTTCACGAGTAAAAATATGACGTATTGTCAATTATCCCTTATACAGGGCGAATAGAACCTTATCTATATTATATAGTTTATTAACTGAATCAAAGCGGTTACGTCACAACGTCAAATAATGACAGCGACAGACATGGTTGCCACATTAATTAAAACTACTAGATTCTAGGACGTTTTACAAAATCAGCTTTATGTCTTACCGCAACCAACATTACCGTAGCGTATGTTTTGTAAACGCTAGAGCTAGTATAAATTCTATTTACTACCTAATACCTCTCTTACGGGCTGTAAAGGCAATAATGGAGTTCCATGATCGCGTTCGGTTTCAAAGAAATGACGAATTATTTTGCTTGTCGACCCAGAGGTTTCGATATTTTAGCAAAATGCTTAAAAGGACACCTCAAAGTTTTGAAAAAAACTTTTTTTATAAAATAACATTGCAAGTATTGAGGCAAAACGAACGAAAATAAACCACAAATACGCAACCACACACACAGCCACAACATAAATGTACCCGAGAAATTCAAACTATACGTACCAATTTAGGATCTATTTTGCATTAAGCTTGGCATTCAAATTTACTAAATATGACGTAACTGCTTTGTTTCAGTGAATAAACTATACCATGCTTCTCCCACAAAACCAATTTATTTAGTCATTCTATTATCCATGGGGTGCCATCGCAAACGTACATCATTCGCGTATGTACCCCGTACATTGCTACTCCTATTATCATTCGGTATAATGAACGATGACCTTTGCATTTACATATTATGTGGTTAAGTAGTGTCTAATGTATATACATATACATACATGTAATAGTCACTTGATCATATCTACGGGTCAGGCGCTATAGAAATTCCGCCAAAACCTGATTTTTATGGTCGCCCTACTTACATTTCTAAAACACATCTTTTACCATTCCTTGATGCAGTTTTAGGAAACTTGTCCACTTGAGACACCTTATTAATTAAAATTGTCATTTTATGATATTAATTAACAACATCTCTACTACGCGTAGCTGACTTAAAGTCGATTAGCGAAAGCTCGCGTATAATAGTTATTTATTAATGATACCCTTTACAGTTACACATTGGCATCATCTCCTTTTATTACTCATTTCGCACTTCGGGAACAAGTTATCGGCCTCGTCAGCCTTATTACTGACCGCTCGTCGCCCAGTAGCTGGTTAACAGCTAACAACATGCTACCTGGCTTCCCCTCGCAATGTCTCTAGGTTTTGAGAGTAATGTTGGTGGTAAGGTTGCTTGATTACTTGTTTCTCATCAGAAAGTGATAGTTAGAGGAAAATGTTGACTTATTGGTGGATATAGCACATGTTCTTGTTTTTAAAGCTCGTGAGGTGTTACGTAGTTCGGGTTTCCATAAATACCGGGTGAAACAAAAGTAAGGAAACAGCTTTGCATTTTTCCAAGTTAAGTATTTTTGAAAAAGGTCAATGGCAGATCTGTATAATACCAAGGTCAACTATTGTTTTTTAAATGAAGAGTTCCATTCTTGACAGCGGCAATCGAAAGAATCAAAAACTCGTCTGAATATGTATTAAGATCTAAGATCACGGTCACCTCTTTAGGTAAAAGTCTGAGGCTAGGGAAAATTCCTAGAAGCTTAGCATTATTATTAATCGCAAAAATCAAGGTGAGACCTTTATCAAAGATTTTAATTTTGACCAAGGATTTGACTTTGACCACAATTTCTAGGTCTTAATAGTAAATGAAATTAGAAAATAATTTTTTTCAGCGCGGGTGTTAAACGAGGGTTTCCAGTTAAGCAAAAAGTTGAATCAGTTTGGACGTGAGGTTCAAGGTTAAATCAAAGGTCACCTATCAAATTTTTGTGGAAAGTTACTGAATAAGTACTTTTTGTCGGTAAACCTGCGAAATTTCTAGGAATTCTTCCTAACCTTACATATTTGGACCTTTATCTGACCTTTAGAGGTAACTGTGATATTAGATTTTAATACATATTCGGAAGAAGAATGTTTCATTTTTTATTGACAAAAAAAAGGTTATTCATTTAAAAAGGTGATCATTGAACTCTTTGTTTGATGTTAGGATACAGCTGAAAAATACAGAGCCAACCCGTTACTTTTGTTGCACTTGGTAATCAACATTACGTCTAATATAGTTAGTGTAAATTTCTTATATAGGTATTTCTTTGCTGTTAACATTATTAAGCATAGTGCAATTTTCAAGACTAAATGCAAAGCCTAGATGGAGTGTATGAATTTATGGATAAAACAGTTTTCCATACACGGCGAACACAACTCGCAGCATCTATAACGGGAGTTACCTACTTTAAGTAGATATTTTTGCAGCGTACTCCATAACCCTAGGAAATTTGATCACCAGAAGGATTTATCACCTTATCGAAAGTCAAAGTCTAGAGACGAACCTAGGAACATACTATTTCTACACTCACAAAGTTAAATTGATGGATAACTAACACTCGGGATTTTTTCTCCATTATGCATTAAGCAAAACTTTTCTGATTTGAACTCATTGCAGGCAACTGGCAACTCCATCAAAAAGACGGCAACGCAGCCAGTTAGCCAACCCACTTGATGAAAAATGTCATGTTGTGATACTTCGGCTAATGTTCCGGTCGTATCCCCAAATAATTTTTGATAATCACATAAAAGAACTTCTCTACCATATTTATGTGTTCTTTGAAGTATTCAATGTACCTGCAGTGTTGAAAACCTTTCAGAAGTGACAAGCAAGTTAATAGTGAACTAGTGATCGCCAGACTCAAGAGACATAATGTTATTTTCCACAGGGTTGATTATACAAAGTTATGTATTTCAATATTTTTGCCAGATAAATGATACTAGATAATTCGCTGGATTATTTAACATCTAGGTAGAGTTTATTTGCGAACTGCATGAGCTTTTCTTTCAATCAGGACTTTTAGGAACCAAAATACTCTATTTATGTATGGCGCACAATGCGGTTTGCTTCTCTCTTCCGTTTCGGTACAAGACTATAGTAATCATATCACCTCAAAACGAGACTGACAGCTGATTAGCAGTTTTCGGTGGGAACACAAAACCAACGCAACCGAAGGCAAAATAGGGTTGAAGTCGAGTTGCTTACGGGCTGAATTGGGTAAGAGCAATGACTGACTGTAAAGCAGGACACCTTGTAAAATATGCCGGTTACCATCAACAATTGCGGTTCGCTGCTTGGAGGCTGTTAGAGTTTGAAATCTGTCAGATCTGCATCTCTATAGAGGTAACTATGATAAACTGCCGACGATGAATATCCGATGGTGTTTTGTCTGTTTTGCTGGTTCTCTGTAGGCTGTGCGTTGCAGTGTTGATGCGATGTTAATTGATGATAGTGAATCGTCGTAATTTGGCAAAGGTGTGAGAGTTAGATAAGAATCTGTAAAAAGTATGGATACGTATCATGTTGGATGTTGAATTAATGCCCATCCTAATAATGTTTATCACAGTATTTTCCGCATTCCTTAGTTACGAGGAATATTATACCGTCAATTACCAAGTGAGGCAATCTGAAAGATAGAGGCTACTCTGGCGGACATTACCTAAGAGAGATAGTGAGAAAGTAAGTACGAAAAGTACTCATAAACAGGAATCCTAGAATATTTCCTCAACAAGGATACAGTGTGCGAAATAGGGAAAGAATATATCTTTGGAGAACAAATACCGATTCAAAATTCTGTATGATTAGCGTAACCAGTACATACAAATACATCCGTGCTTTAAAGTACAATAGTGGCATATACATTGTGATACTTTGACTTCTGCCGAAGAAGAAACATTTCCTAAGCTACAAAATTTTTTGAATAATAATCACTTTAAACGGTAGGTATTTAATTATACATGAATTACCTGTCGTGACAAATATTTGTCAGACCATTCCTGTTGAAGGAAAATCGGTTGGGATACATCAAGTGAAGTCCATATAAAACATTTGAGAGTACAATGAACTTACAGAGTGTCCAATAAGTACCACGATAAACCTAAGGAGAAGGTAGGCTTTGGGCTGGCCTCCCAAATAACAAAAACTTACCTATATAAAAGTGTCACCGTTTTTGAGATATTAAAGTTTTTCTTAAATTTAAGAAAACGTACCTTTTCATCTGTATTCTTTAGCTGCATGTGCAATTAAGGTTATACTTTGTTCATTTTTTTCTATAAAATACTTCTAGATAGTTGCTTTATCATATACAAATTCAATGTAGTTAAAAGATATTAAGGAACCATGATCAAATAAGGACTATTTTGGGATTTATAACTTTCTGATATTTTTCCCCAACTTTGACCATCTATGGTGGAACAAAAATGTACTGGGCTATAACTGCATTATATTGAATAAAAAGATTGCTCATTGAATACAGATTTCAGTAAGGTACCACACGTACTGTTTGGAATAGAGAAAAGTGATAGCTGTTTTTGTAAGTGACTGACACAGGCTACAATGTAATTCACTGATCAACAGCCAAAAAATATCCTAAATAAAATCAACAAAATATTACTATTTTTAATGTGCTAAAACCGGAATGAAACTTATTATTTCAATATTAGTTCAAGTTTTAGAGATACGGTAATTATATGTGTTCCTGCTGTGACAGTGTTAATATACGGTAATTCACAAGAATGCACGTGCTACATTTTTATATTCAGCAAGGAAAGATGATGTAATCGACATGATTGTGTTACGTTATACATACGTGTACATTATATTGTTTTATATTAGCCATTTTTCCTCAGTTGGCTGACAGCGTTCATGCAAGATGTCTCGAAAGTGTGTAAACAATCCAGATCATTTTTGTTACGTGTGTGGTGATGTGGCTTTTGCGTCTCAGAGACGGTCTATTACTCCACTAATAACAAAGGCATGTCAGCTTTATTTCGGTTGTAAACTAGGTGATCAAGACAAACAGTGGGCACCCCACATCTGCTGTAATACATGTGCTTCAAGTCTGAGGAGCTGGTTAAATGGCAAAAAACGGTCTATGCGCTTTGCTGTCCCAATGGTTTGGAGAGAGCCTACAAATCATATTAATGATTGTTACTTTTGCATGGTACCTTGTGTTGGACAAGCCACAGGTATGTCCAAGAAAAAAAATCGGTTATTAACTACCCAAACATACCATCTGCGATGAGACCTGTGCCTCACAGTGACGAAAATCCTATTCCAAAACCCCTAGAATCCTACACTTGCGAATCAGAAAACGAATCAGATCATGGCGATCGAGTGATTCGTCAGGAAGAAGATATGCCATCAACGTCAAGAGATCCTGATTTTATACCGAGCACGTCAAGCCACCAACCGCACAAAATAACACAGTCAGAATTAAATGATCTTGTAAGAGATTTAGAACTTCCAAAATGTAAGGCAGAGTTACTTGGATCAAGACTGCAGCAGTGGAACTTGTTAGAAGACGATGTTTCGGTATGTGTTTTTCGTAAACGCCACAAAGACAGAACCATTTTTCAATATGGAGAATAACTTGGTTTTCTGCAGTAACATTAACGGCTTACTGGCGGCTTTAAATATAAACTATAACCCAGAAGAATGGAGATTGTTTATAGACAGTTCAACATTGAGTTTAAAGGCAGTGTTATTGCATATTGGAAATATTTGACCATCTCTTCCTGTAGGGTATGCAGTTCACATGAAAGAATCATATGACAATATGAAGTACCTATTGACATGCATAAAATACGATGAGCACCAATGGCATATTTGTGGCGATTTGAAAGTTGTTGCACTTTTACTTGGGCTGCAGCTCGGCTACACAAAGTTTTGCTGTTTCTTGTGTGAATGGGACAGTGGGGCAAAGGCACTTCATTACACCAGACAAAACTGGCCTTTTCGTCAATTCCTAGAGCCAGGTCAAAAAAATGTACAGCATATGCCATTAGTAGATTCGAAAAAAAATTTATTACCACCACTGCATATCAACTTGTCAAGGCATTAGATAGAGATGGGTCTGCTTTTCAATACCTGCGTCAGAAATTTCCAAGACTAAGTGAGGCAAAGGTTAAAGAAGGTATTTTTATTGGGCCACAGATTCGAAATATTTTGAAAGATACACAGTTTGAAAACACGTTAACAGGTATTGAAAAAACTGCTTGGAATGATTTCCGTCTGGTGGTCACTAATTTCTTGGGAAATAGAAAAGCTGACAACTATAAAACCCTTGTCAAAAATATGCTGTCATCGTATCAAAAGATGGGCTGTAATATGTCTCTTAAGATACATTTCCTACACTCACACCTGGACTTTTTTCCTGACAATTGCGGAGCCGTAAGTGATGAGCACGGCGTACGTTTTCATCAGGATATTTCAACAATGGAAAAAAGGTACCAGGGAAAGTGGAATCCTTCCATGCTTGCAGACTACTGTTGGACTCTTGGTAGAGATGCTCCAGAAACGATCCATAAAAGAACAGCAAAAAGACAGCGCATATAGTGATTCTTATAAGTATATGAATCTTGTTACTTTTTTTAATATATCCTTAAAAATAAAAAGTTTTTTTTCTAAACCGCAACTAATTTTTTTATTTCATTGTCATTTTTAGATTCAGCGCCCCAAAATTAATAAAGAAGTGCACTTTTCCCACAAGATACAATTAAAAAACTAAAATTTGTTGTCCAGTGATTTGATTTAAATTCCAGTTGCACTGGTTACCGATCTGTGACATGCTAAATAGTACAAAGCTACATTATTATTACCTACTCCTGATATGATTTTATGACAGTTGAGGGAACAATATCAGAAGGTTATAAATCTCAAAACAGTCCTCATTTATCATTCTTCCACAAAGTATAACCCTATTTGTACATGCAGCTAAAGACCACAGATGAAAAGGTTCGTTTTTTTAAAATTTAAGAAAAAAATTCAATATCTCAAAACGGTGACACTTTTATATAGGTAAGTTTTTGTTATTTGGGAGGTCATTCCAAAGCCTACCTTCTCCTTAAGTTTGTCGTGATACTTATTGGATACTCTGTATAGTTTATTGGAGGAGTAAAACCATTTCATCGCAGTGGTGTTTGAATAATATGTTTCATCTATTCTTTGTAATGGGAAATTTCAGGATCTAGGTATGTTTATATGAAATATTTATGTCGTCTCTGTCTTTATCTAGAAATATTCCCATTGTTTTTTTAATAGCCTTGTACAGGATGATGTCATAGTTCAAGCTTGATTATTTGTATTTGGCATTATAGTTCTAATTTTGCTACCACTGTTTTTCTTCAACTGTGGAACGCTTTATTTGTGGTATCTTAACTTCTATGTGTTCATATAAAAAATTAAAAACGGCACACGTGTCCTCTCTACTTCTAAGTTGGTTCATTATCATGTTTTTTTGGCACACCAAGAACGGATCTGGGCTTCGGTCTGGGGTAGATGATCTCTTTCTTATGACGAAGTTGTTTTCCAGAATTGGGATCTGACCATGTAATGTAAATGATTCCCCTTGAAATAAAATGTTGAATTCTGTTCTCCACTCTGTTACTGAAAAATCATCTATCTTTTGGCAACAAAGTAGATAAACACTCACCTCAATAGTAACAACAGCATCAGTATACTGAACTCCATCGCTACACCTCACAGCCAACTGATACTCATCCCGTTGTTCCCTGTCCAAAGTCTCCTTGAGTTTCAATACTCCAGTCGTGGCGTCCAAAGAGAAATGCTCGCTCCCATTAGTCAAACTGTACTCCAATGAACCAATGGTGTCAGGATCAGAAGCCTTCAGAGTGGCTACGGGTTGGCCAGCGGGTAGTTCTTCTGATACTTGGAAGCGGAGTGGTGCTGGGAAAGAGGGCGGGCTATCGTTCTTGTCCAATACTGTGATGCGGACCTGTAATGATAAATTGATAAGGAATTGTTTTACTGGAGCTAGAATAGAATTGAACAGTTTCAAGAAGTGGCATTTTGGTAGGAAATAACAGATCACACTAACCTATTGGCCCAATTCACGTTTACGTGATAGGGTGACAGATTTTGTAATTATTGTTGCCAAACCTACTTCCTACGCCACTGCAAAGGAGTATTGTAATCGCGAAAAATTTCGAAAATGAGATGTCTTTTGGATGTTATGCGACATATGTACATCAAGAAACACAATGTCACTCATTTCCATCAGTCTATCTGTCGATTTGTCTGTCTGCCCGCTTTGGCCCGTCTATAACTTGAGAAGTACCCCTCAGATGTGGATGCAATTTTCACACAGGGTCAGTACTATGCAAAGGATGAAAAAGCTTTATAAATTTTAAAATCGTTTTAGTGGCAGCGGAGCTGACGTTTCAGACTTCCAGATAATTTTTTGTCGCAGTTAAAAGTAGGGGTTGGGGGTGTAAGGGGTGGGCGTATATCTCATTTTTTTGATGTTAGTATATCTATACTCATACGCTCCCAACCCTGATAATTTTATGCACCTATTAGCCATATTTTACACACCATAAGTTTCCCTGTATATTTGTCTTTAAAATAGAACGATAGAGAAATGTTTTCGATACGCAACTCCTGCAATCTGGGTTCACCGCCTGGTGCACCGGTGTAGTCCACTGTTCTGCTCGTACTGCAGCGGTGCCGCGGTGGGCGCTGCCACTTCGTCACTTGGCCCGTTCAAGAAATAAAAGGAAGGCACCAAAGAAAATTATTGTATCTATACATATACCATGACCAGCAGTTGCGTCTGTGGCAATGGTGCACCTTATCGTCTTTTGTTTGAAGTCGCCTTCCCCTAGGTCATGCGAAGTCGTCTGGCTGCGTTCACTTGTTTTATTTCAGACTCGCGTACCACTAGGCAGTCTTTTGTTTTACTTACTTGTTGCATGTTCGACGTCTAAGAGACAATTCTTTTTTCCCCGTTCATAAATGACCTCTATTTATTTTCGGTTCGACTGCCGGTAACAAAGGGATTGCTGATCGAAAGGAATGGAACTCTAATGCTATTGTGGACAGTTGAAGTCGCTCCGGCATTCCAGTATGGTTCTTTCGAGTTATATTTATTGTACAGATTTGTTCGAGATAAAGATGATTAATGGTGCAAGCAGTTAGTGAACAAAGACACTAAAGAGATCAAGAGGAATTTAGAATATTTTCATCTTAACCTGCAATATTACTTTGACAATATTTGTCAATTTAAAGATGGCAGACATACCTGCGCCAGTATTGAAAAATGACTGCTTTTTCAAAAATAGGAATCAAACAAGTATACGTTTTTTCAGCTGAAGGATAAAGTACTGAATTCATAACTGTACTCGTAAAGGGTATAATAGAATGAACACCATCATGTGAGGTGCCAACTAGTTACAACTTACAACGCTCTCAAAATTTTGTTGAACTATATTTTACTAATTTGTGGCTTCTGTAATTTTCTATATGGATCGGAGAGATAGTCATCTTGTTCTGGGAGATCCGGTATATAGTAGACATTTTGCGGTACATGGGATTGCAGAGTAGTAATAAATTATTTTTTGGTGCCTTAAACGTTAAGCTTGTTTGTCGGAAGAAACACCGTTCAAAAGTATCCTGATTAAAATAAATGAAAAGTAATGTTAGTTATGACCTGTTAACATCCACAACATTATAATAGCCTCGTAAAACAATCGCAAATTATCCTGGCGCTTATAAAATTGTCCTTGTAAATTAGAAGACTGATAAGGCGCCATAAAGTGTAATTATAATAGTTATAAATGCGTGGAAGCGTCCATGTAAACATACAACACAAACCATAAATCAATAAATACATCAATTAGTTTGGTGTATTAGATCGTAATCGAATTAAAATGAGCGCAAGAAATCGGCTATTTATGGAAGATATTATCGTGCATGTTCTATAATAGGTTATTTCGATGTCTCGGCTTGCTTATTACGAATATCTGAGATCTAGTAAAATCACACTGTTCTCGGTGTTTCCATGTTTGAGATAGTTGGGTAAGCGATTCCGAGGCCTTCGCGTCTTCACGGCAGTTTCTCTTGCCATGTTGGTTAAATATGCTAAGACGTAATCTAGAAGAAAAAGCTCAGAGTTTGAGGCCAGTTTGGACCACATCAGATAAGTAGCAATTTTTATAAGCCAACTATCAGAAATAGGCAATTAATCAATCAGTGAATAGTTTCGGTTTGGTTTCGACATGATCACATTGACCTTTAAGATAAAGTTACCAAAAAGCTGTTTCCAAACTTAGTAATTTTGAGCAATTTTTTAGGCAAAGGTTGGCCATGCTATAAGACCTCAGACTAAGCACACAACGTTCATACTCATAATAATACCGTGAAACCTGTATAACTGGAATCTCAGGGATCTATGGTTGATCACTTATAGAGACTTTTCGTTTACCCAAATAGCCAGGTTAGAAATGGCAGTTATTTATAGTGGGGTCTCGCTGAGAGGGATCGAATTGTACTGTATACAATTTTGTAAACCAAAGTCGATAGAATGTCTCACTTATGAAGTTTGAAAATGTCCAGTATGGTCTGCAAAAATGCAAATGCAAAACTATCGGGAGCAAACTGCAAATTCATTGAGCTATTCATTACAATGCAATTGTTCTCTATACTAAGGACCTGGTCACTCCGCAATTTCCCTTCCTGGCTATGTACATGCCGCGGGTAAACCCAGTCTGTGACCTTGAAATGTCCAAAAATTGCGCAGACACATCACGGTTCCAGGAACGGCGACACAGCAGCAGTATGGAAGTGATGGAAACAAGAATACTGTGCTTAGTTAATAGTCGGTGTTCATTAGTATTCTTGGCGGATGGATCCAAAAGAGGTAGGCACAAGAGACCGACTACATTCATTCGTGGGGCCGGTATTTCGGCCGGACTCATTTCTGCCGCTAAACGACGTCACCGGCCAACGGAGATATTTCAAAATCGCCCTGAAAAACTGCCTCCACCGATCGGACGAGACTCATAAACATCCGCCAAGGAATGCATCCGCTATTCGCCAGTCTGTTGCTGACGGACTACCCAAACGTGCTGAACACCTCGACTACAACACGCGGATTTGTAACACTCGAAATATCATGCGCTACTAGCTTAATTCTAACCTTGCAGAATATTGATTCTCAAAAGAACTGAATGCATCGACCTTCTTTAGTTCCTAATTCCTGGCTAAAGATATTGTTGAAAATATCGTTAGTTTCGATGACCACCATCCTGCACTTAACCCAGAAGGAAATCGATTCTAAAAAATTAAGTTCGGGATTCATTTACTCTATTACCTCTTAACTCCATGCTGACAATGTCATGGGAAATATCAATCGTTTCGACTGTTATTAATGTACAGAAAAAAATGAAGAACACTCGACACTTCTGCTTAACTCATCCTTAATTAGCCCTCAATTCCTGGCTAAAGACGTTAAGGGGAATATCGATCGCTGTGTCTATAGCCACAATGCGGCCGCTAACTTACTGTAAACCTAGCAGAGCATCGATTTTCAAAATATATAAAAGCCCCGCAGGGGTATTGAGCATCTTGAAAAGTGACATGTCGGTTTTTTGACATTATATAGTTTTGTTTGTGATATTATTAATGTTTGCTATAAGATGTCAACTTGGAGCTAGCTGTTGTTCTCTTGATGTGCACTCGTTGTGTAGCTGTAGGTGTGGTGTGATGTAACATGTGCTTCAGATATGGTATTATTGGAGGTCTAAGCTGCAAGTTGTATGCTATGGCTGGAAGGAAACGGCAGAGCATAGGTGCATAGGTGTGGTTCACATAAGAATTTGTGCGCTAATAATCTGTGTTGATGATAGTTCTGTTGGTTTCTTGTTTCAAATACGTTTACTTAAGATATATATGTAAAGCTAGAAATTCGTTGCGCATCCAATTCTTCTTATTCATCTTTGAAAAAGGTTTTACGTTCTGCATTATTTTTTAAATTTTATAGAAATTTATTTTGCTAAACATCGCTTGACAAAGTAGTTAATACAGATCAGCGCCTATATGTGAGGCACTGCGAAAATGTTTTGTGTGTGACGCGTCATTCCCATTTTTTATATGATGTGGCTTTGAAGATAAGTGAATATACATGGTTTTTAAGATAAAGGCTCAGGTATAATTTTGAGCATATTCACTAATAATTTTCCCACGTAGCAAATATCTCTGATTTTATAAACATACCAACCATTACACACAATCATCCAGGTGCGATCTTGCTACTCTGCTACCTACCCAATTTCCTTTCTGACACTTCTTCTCAAAAATATCCTCTATAGAGGCATATCGTTAAGTCATTCGTCCATAGGAGACGCTATGGGTGACGCTCACATTGCTCACGGCGAGTAATAGCGGAATAAACTATTTGCATACTAGTAGCTATCTAGTCAGCAAGTTGACATTTTGTCGTTTTTTCCTGACATTATATAGGTTTTCTAGGTAATAACCTTCCGGACTTTCTAACCTTCTATTAGTTCTTAATCAACTCGCAACTCTTGGCTAAGAACGTTATGGAAAGAAACATCGATTGTTTCAGTTGTGCCTAGCATGTTCTGCTACTTGGATGTTAAACTACGAGAACATTGACTTTTAAAAATATATAACAACTTTGAATTTTTTATTTATTCCTACATCAGCCTTTATCTAGCCCTTAGCTTTGGAGGTATATAAAAGTCTCATACTGCTACTTTTGCTCTTCAGTTATTAAGTATTTCTATCATTCAGTGATGTAATTCGTGAAAAATACATTACAAATTAAATCGGTCATACTCTCCACAAATTCTCCCCACTTCGTTTTTTTTTGTTTCAAGTTCTCTTCGTCCTTCCCTTTTCCTTCCTGGTATAGCCTTCGCGTATCACATGACTTTTACTTGTAGACTGCTCTTTCTCTCATTCTACGTGCGTGACCAAACAATTTCAAGTGATACTGTTTAATCAGCTTCAGAACTGACTGCTGCCAATTCTTCTCTAATCACTTCGCTGTTGATTCAGTTCGATTTTGAAATTCAGGTACTTAATATCATAGCATATATCTTTCGTTTTTGTCTTTTGGAAATACCGCATGACTCCCAGCTAAATATCAGGGTATGTCTGTAAATGATCTTGGTCACCTTCATCGCTCTCGCTGAGATCTCCTTCCGGCCAAGAAAACTGGATGTTTAGTACTCTGAACAGTTTTGATGCAGTACTGATTCTGTTATTCATTTCAAATCTTGTTTCCTTGAGCATCAATTGCTGTAGCAAGGAGCAGGATTTCTCTTCATCTCTTCGCCATTTAGTTCCACCATTGTGTTCTTTCAGTAACTACCACGACATTTGCCTCTTCTGTACTTATTCTCATTTCTTGGCTACTCAAATAGCTTTTTCATATTTCTAAGTTACATTCAAAGACCTGCTCTTTTTTAGTGAACATGGTCAAAACAGCAGCAAAATCGCATAAAGTTACAGGTCTTAAGTTCCTGTATCCTACTTGAAGCTTATTTACCTTTGAGCTTGTTTCTTTGATGACCTGATCGATATCAATAATGAAGAGTGTGTGATTCAACACGCTACCCAGCTTAAGACCTCTGTGATGAATGCTTCTGACTCCAGACCTTTTATTCTAACTGCATTTCTGCATGAGCGCCACAAACTTATTTTTGCTGTTACTCAAATTCAAAATCTCACAAAATGTTCCCCTGGAAATTCTGTCAAATGCTTTTCCAAACCATTGAATGCTATCAGAGTTTCCAAACTTCGCAGCATAGGTTTATTGATCACTTGGTATATTTTAAACACATGATACTTAGTGCCATACCTTTTCCTAAAACCACTCTGCGAATCAGATAACTGACATTCTATCTTCTTGATTGATTTACATACATCTAGTCTTTCAGAGACTTTCGGAATATAAGCATCAAAAACATGGGATACCTTTATTTCTTAGAGAATTCCTCAGCTAACCTCGTTGGCTGATGAATTAGGCGCTTTGTGCATTCCAGTTAGTCATCGGCCCTTTCCTTTATAGTATGCAAAACTTGTTAAATGAGCGACGACACTGAAGCTGCACAGTTCCATATTTTAGCTTTTAGTGAATATGGTGAACAGTAAAATCGTTTGCATTACAACGACTGGGAGACAACCAGTAACCAGAATAACAAAAAGTTCACGAATTCCTCAAGTCTCTCGAATTCCTGACAAATAAACCTTACTGGATTCTAGGAAAGATAAAAAATAAACAAAGAAGCAGCCGAAGTCAACTCGAAATGACGAACCACCGTGGAGGCATTCACTTTAAAGGTTACGCTCAGATGCTTTGGGACAGTATGTTTTCGGTTAAAGTCAGAGGATAATTAATCTGAGAGGAAATAAGAAATTTGAATTTTAATTGAAATGCCCTGTATGGTTTATAGGGTGGCTGAAACAGTTATTGCGAATTGTAGTATAAAACCTGATGTTGCAATAAATATACACGGAGAAGCAGATTTTACTCAGATACAAGGAAGATATGCAGTAGGTATTTTTTGAAGAACCCCGCTTACCAAGGCCCACGAGCATTCAGACCGCGCGACCGGCCAGCCATTTTCCAGCAAACCTGAGAAAAATGTTTGAAGCGCCCGAAGCGGTGACTGCTACATGACGTAGCATGGCTAATTTGGCCGTTCGGCCAGTTCATCGTCATTGGCCGTACCAACACAGAATATGTATTCCAATTTGGCGCACTGATATTCCAGTGGCGTCGCAATAAATGTGTGATAAGACGATCATGGTCAATCAGGAAATGATGCGCTAGGCAATAAGGTAAAAAAGTTTATAAAAAATGACGTAGGTAGACTCTACACTTCCCAGACAACGACGTCATCAGTCAATAAATGACTATGTTCAGGACAAGTTACACCCTATCGAAATAACACAGCGCCATAAACCTTATAACCTTGGTAGAGCAGAGTTGCTATGATTTCATCGTTGTCACAGAGACAAAGCCTAATTCATGCTGATGATTGTCAAAAACTCACGAAACAGCTGTCTGCCTGACTCTATAAGAAAAAAGTAGCTACGAGCTTGTCTAACAGAGAAATTAAACAAATCCGTCAAATGCCCTCCTAGTTTCGTCCGTCTGGCAACACCGCGCCTCCTCTCCCCAATATCTGAATGCACGATGCGTCAGACGCGGCAGAGCGCCCAGAGGGCAAACATACAAACACCGTCACGCGGCCGTTGAAGCCAGGAGGAGCAGGGACTTTTGTCGAAAACATTTTTTTCTATCGTTTTGAGGACAAATGTACGGGGAAATATATGATGTGTAATATGTCTAATAGGTGCGTAGTATTACCGGGGTGTATTAATAAATTAAAATCAACAATTGAGATACACCCTCACTTACCCTCTCTACAACCCCCACCATCCATTTTGACCACTTAATATTTCAAAGATAATATAATAATAACGTCAAAAACGAAGATTGAGCGATTCTCATTTTTTCGTTTTTGACTTTTTTCTCCGACGACACTGAACCGATTTTCAAATACTACAAAGGCTTTTCGTCCTTGGTATAGTAGTAACCTTGTATGAACATTTTATTAAAATTTGACCGATGGGCCAAGTATTAGCGGATAGACAGACAGATCGCGACAGACCGACGGAAATAAGTGATACGGTTCTTCGTGATGTATCATATCATAGAACATCAAAATATCTCATTTTTGAAATTTATTGCGACTACAATACTTTCTCGTCAGTAGGCGTGGAAAGTAAAAGGGAAACCTCAAAATGTCAGAATATACAAAGAATTCCATTTCAATAAAATTATGAGGAAAAGGAATATTTACGTTTTTAAACATCCTGTACAGGTCGTGAAAGAAATTATAAATAGTTAAATAACAAAAAATGAAAGACTTAAATTAAAGCACTATTCAAAATCTCTACTTTTCCGGCCGCCAAATATGTTGGATTGAATGTACTAACGCCAAAAATTATAATCCATAAGTCAGAAAATCAGAAAAGCATGGACATTTACCAGTCAGAAAACCACAGGAAAAGTTTTAAGTGCTACATTTACTAATCTATCGGCAAAGGTGTGTGTTTTTCGGACCAGATCAAAACTTCATATCAGTTCGTCGCTCCATGACATAGTAGGCCATAGACTTCGAAAAATCATGTTTGTATGATCCTTCAGTTTCATAGGCCGAGAGCCTTTAGTTCTGCGTGAAACCTGTGTTTACCTCAATAAGAGATACGATGCCCGTTAGAATTATAATTTTCGCTTGATATGGTTTCGTATAAAATTCATTCGGGTTTTTAAAGACAACAATCCTAGAACCGTACTAGACTACCAGTAGCCAATCGTAATGCGGCTGAAAATTACAAGAACTAATAGGGCGGGATCAGAACGGTTCTCGGATAGTTTCTTGTAGTGCCCAAATTTATCTTAGGCTCGATATTCTTTAACCATGATTGATGAGTTGTTGATGTTTTCAGGAGATGTCAACGATCGAGCAAGCGAGAAACCTATCACAATAGGTATGCATAAAAATAGTTGATTGCCTTATTGCACAGAATGTGGGTACATACGTGGAAAACAAATATTTATACTGAGTTCCTTTTATTTTCGGAATTAGACCTCAAACATTACCAATGGCTAGATGCCTCTGCTCTACACTACTTATTGAGGCATTGTTTGACTTTGCGTCGGGATTGCTAGCTATCTCCGTTTTAAAAATATTGAGTGCGGCACTGGCTCACCTTTGGCCATAACCACCATTTTTCGGTCGCCATGCTGCCTCTCGGTACAGAGGCGCTCTAGGGCCTCGACGGCTATAATCTTTCTATCAAAACCAAACTGTGCACTCGAATCAAGCGTGATCTATCGATTCGAGCGTACCCAGCTCAGGTCGACGAGACGGCCTTCCATTTTTTCCTACTTTCTACCTGGATACGCGTAGAACTTGTGTTAGCCATGCGAAAGGCAATAGTTCTTTTCCAGGTTCTATTCTGGTTCTATCTATGATTAAATTAGTGGCTTTATTGATATGCGTTTCGAAATGGTCCTGGTAAGAAGAACTGGGGAAATATTCTTCTGATCTATTCATCTCCTACTAGTGCTCGTAATTACAGCGATATGTAGCTCTTAGGCCCGTATCGTCAGTCGTCCCTACAATTGTAGGGCGCCTTTATGGCCTCCTTGATTGTCATAGTTTTCTATTTTTCCATGTCAGTGCTCTATTTTGAGGTTATGTCACAAACATCTATTTGCATCAAATTGTGCTTGCTTTTGAGTTATATCATGTTTTATCAGCCTGAAATTTCCTACAATTTAAAAGGAAAACATATCTTCACAATAGGAGAGCGCTGACGCTGACACGGGACAAGTGTAATCTAGAAATTTTTGAAGTAGAGAAAGGAGTATGACAATCAAGGAGGCCATAAACGCGCCCTACAATTGTAGGGGCGACTGACGATACGGGCCTTAGTTGATGCTTTGTTGTTTAGGTTGGTCTTTCGATTGCGAAGATACCGGTCACAGTCAGTTCTTCTTTTCGACAGTCATCTTGACAACACTGTCCTGTCGGCCTTTTTTGCCAGAGGGGTGAGATTCACCACAATCCAGGAATACTCACTTGTATCCCTAAGTTCTGCGCTACACATCACTACGGTAATGCTTGCAGGATTTCATGACGGTAGGTAGTGTTGCGGTAAATATTCATACATCAAGTTATTAGTCCTGCCATTCTTATCGTCGGTCGTACATATACGTTCGTATTTATGTAAATGTACAACCGATTTCTGGTCCTTTACTCTGTTATTATAATCCTACAGCTTGCTCAGCATCATCCTCCTGCCCCACTATTTCTTGAATGCCAACCCGTTTGTCCTTGCTTACATGCCTGGCAAAGCTGGCAGCGGTGAGCCTCCTATCGAGCATCAATTCTAGTAGGTGAACAGGAGTGTCCTTCTCTTCGTTGCAATATACGCAGTTCACGTACTCTCTGTTTCCTACCATCTTAACGTAGCTGTCAAAACAAACTCGTGTGAGGAACTGAGCGGTTTATCTATTTGCACCGCTCTCTTGTCAATTCGGGTTTTAATATCCGTAATAAAGCTTTTGCATTCTTGACGGTTTTTCTTTTACACCAAGCGCGGCCGGCTGCTATGAGCATCCAAAAAAAACTTTGTTAATCCGATTTTTGAAGTGCCTGAAGTTAGTAGAACTGGGAAAAGCTTCCTGTCCATAATCTCGATGCCCTAGGGAGAAAGGAGCGGTCATATCGACCAGTTCTGGATGTACGAAGTTCGACACGGTTAGGATGGGAGGCCGAAGTCAGGCGGGTCTGCCTGGCAGGCACATTGTGCGGCGGTATCATGGAGGAGTGCTCTGAGGGATAAAGCCCGTTGGTGTAGCGGTAGAAGAGAGCTAGATTGCCGACGGCCCGCAGGTGCGAAAAGATCCCGAGAGTCACGATCAGTCGGACAGCCCTCCTCTGGACAGCATCTAGCATGAATAATGTAGTAGTAGGGTCTAGGTCTTATCTGTTCCTTGTATAGAGTGAGGAGATCATGTGGAGAAAAGTACTTCTTAGCCCTAAGCAAATAGCTTATCGTTTTCCCAGCAGCTGCCGCTATTGACGAGATGTGTTCGTGCCAGATCAAGTCCTCGGTGATCTAGACTTCGACCAGCAGAAATGAACGGTTCTTTGGCAGAGGTCGGCCATCTCTCGAAACTGGATGAGCGCTAGGACTCTTTTTATTAGGTTTGTTAGTTAGAGCATTGGCAAATGGACATTCAATGTTGACTACCGAATTTTTGTTCAATCATTTTCCTTAGCAACACCGTCTGTACGATGATGTGCCCTGGAGGTGCCATATAGCGCATTTATCTGACCAGCGATGTCACGGCCACGAGACTTACCAAGAAACTGAATCTCTCGCAGCGAGTGTTATCACCACCGTGCCGAATTAAACTGTGATACAGCCATAACCCACCCACCGATGCCATGATCGACATACATCACCTCCAGATCGCCGTTGCGATCTTCACAAAACTGCACGGTTGTTGTTATTATGTTTTGAAACATGACACTTTAACGGTATTATGCAAAATGCCAGTCGCGTTGGTTACCGGTCAACCAAGAGGTGGTGGCATGAAGAAATTACTTGCCTGTCAATCCTGTGTTTTTCATCTTTTTTTTCTCTCCACTGAAAAAATGTGTGGTTGTTGGAAAGGTAGTCAAACGTGGCAAGTAGAGAAGTCCCATGGATTTCCCTGGGAATACCGATCAGACAGAAACACTTTCCATGCGAAGTAAGTAAAGTGTATCACGAGCGTACCTTAATTTTCCTAATTGAGGGATGTTACACACTGTGCAAGTCGATCTTAAACAGATCTGCTACTCGCTCATGAACTTATGATGAGCGTAATAGGAAGGCATTGTCCACTTTATGGAAATACGTCAAAAGATATATAGAACTAATCATTCACACAAGTCTAATGTCTAAGTTTGATTAGCAGAGTTGTACCTACATATACGTACATTGCGATTTAAATACAATGCTTTAATCATTTATCACATTCCCTCTTCCACAGCCTACGACAATTCCAATCTCCATAGTACAAGCTGCTGTGCCACATGATGGTTTTTAAGTCCTGATGATAATTTTTTCTAGGCGTTTCCTTCTTCCGCCTTGTCGAAGGGGACCATTCCAATATTATTTTCGGAGACCTATCATCACTCATGCGACAAACATGTCTATACCATCTCTCTCCGGACATCTACCGTTTATAACACGATCTTGGAGAGCAAGCGTGCAACACTTTTGCCAGTATCCCATTTCCATTGCCAGAATCTTCTTCCTCATTACTTGAGCGGTTTTCCCAACTTCAACACAATAGGTAGCAATACTTTCAACTATTGTCTTATATATTCGTATTTTTGTGCCTGTAGTTATCTGCTTACTCCACAATATATATATAATATATATATATATATATATAATATATAAGGCTGCTACGTCAAGTACTTCCCTTGCCCTATTCGATTTTTTATATGTTTCACTAGAGCCTTCTTTTGTAATGGTCAACCAACCCATTTTTTTGAGCACACCTTGATCTACAATAAGATTTCGTTACCAACCACAACTTACTCAGTTTTTCTCTAATACACATTGTGCTCATCCTCTTTCTATTTGATCATCAGCAAAGTGTAAAATTTATGATGATCAATATCTATAAGTCTACTCCTACAAGTGTGACGCCACCATCCTAATGATGAATTCAAATATATTTTAAACAACGATGGAGCGATAGGACAGGCCTGGCGTAGTACTTCAGTAACTGGGAAAGGTTCGGATATCTTCGATTCCACTTTTACGTACACTGATGGTGATGTTACCATAAAATGTTTATGTAGCTTTTATGTAGATTGGTTTGATACTACTCGGATACTGCTCTAATGCTGCAACAACAAGTTTAAAGGGACACTATCGTAAACCTTCTTGAAGACCTTAAGATGAAGACATTGTCAACGCAGGATCGCCCTGCCCGGAAGGCACTTTGCTCTTCTACACCTTCCATCTCACCTTCAATTCTGTTTTTTAGGATTCTCCATATGTGTTCGTCACACAGACCTCTATAATTCGATAAAAACTTTCTGGAGATCGAACATCTAGAAAAGTACCAGATCAGCTAATATCAGCTATTGTAATAATAATAAACGGCTTTATTGGCGGAGTTTAGCACAGCTATTCTTACACTCAACCTTTCTAAAGACTAAAGCTTAATGGTAATTTGACATACAAATATGGTATTTTACATATACAGTAAACGATTATGAATCTAACTAAAAAAAGAAAATAATGGTAATTGATCACAGGACATTTATTCATTGATCCTATGCTGAATTCCTAGAAGATGTTGTCTGAGATGCAGTTTGAAACGGATGTTATTACTATTTGATATATCTATATTCCTGCTATAGAGGTTAAAGAGAGACACTGCATTATACGTGAAAGATATATAAAAGAGTGATGTTACATACATAGGCATTGTAAAATGGTTTTGATATCTCATATTGACATTATGTATACATGACGTAGGGACCAGCTTTTCTACTGAATATACAGGATTCTTAGAATATAATATACGATTCAATGTTGTTAGGTAAAAATATTTGAACAGAGAATTGATGTTAAGCCGTTGTAAAAGCCTGAAACTATTAGACATGTGGTCAAATTTACGTAAGTTACAGACAAAACGGCAACAGTTATTCTGCACTCTGCAGGCGCATTTGAGTCGAATAGTTCAGGCATGGATAAAAAACTATCAAACCATAACTGATAATTGATAGAACTAAACCTTCAGCCAGCTTTTTCCTCGTCTTGAAGTTAGTAATCTACTTATTGGCATACAGTACTCGCAGTTTCAAATAACACCTCTGAGATATTGTTTTAATGTATTGTTGGTAACGTAACTTGCCATCTATGATCTAACCAAGTATCTTACAACTAGTTGAAAAATAAAGTTGTTGTTCATTCAAGTTTTCTCGCTTGTGATCAGAACAGCAAGGCACAAGCTTCGTTTTATCAGGATCTAGTTTCAAATTGTGTTCTTTACAATTGTCAGATACTGTTCGTAAGTCAGTGTTGATTAAATCATTTGCCTGTTCCACAAAAGATGGTTCAAAATGAAACAAAAGCTGCGTATCATCAGCATAAGATTGAATGTGTGAGTACTGTACGGATTTCAAGATATCAGCTGTGTATATAATGAATAACAACGGTCCTAAAACAGAACCTTGAGGAACTCCTGATTTTTATTGTTGTTATCTCAGATCTTTTGTTATGAATAATAACGCTTTGCTTACGAAGACTTAAGTAATTACAAAATAAGTTCAACGCTGTTTGGTCAGGGCCATAATG